CAGGGGGCCCGGAGGCGGCCCTGCCGGGCCTGCGTGGACTTCAAGACATGGATGCGGACACAGCAGAAGGTGTAAATGCCTTACCCGGCCTCCCAGCCCCGCCCTCCGCCCCCACCCTTGCCTTCAGGTGCCCTGGGCAGTCCTCCCCAGGGCCCGGGCCCCCAGGGTGGGCTATCCCCGTACCTTGCCCCAACCGTAGGCCCGGCCTTTCCTCTTTCAACCGCGCTGGGGCCGGATCGTGTTCAGGACTTTGTCCGGAGCCGGTGGATCACCGGCCTGGACCTCAGAAGGGGGAGCTTTATGGGTTTCTGGTTGGGGAGAATGAACTGACCCTTGGTCGGCCTACTTCTGCAGCGGGACAGCGGGTTTAGGGAGGATTGTCCACAGGATCGTGAGGGACTGGGCCGCCACAGCTGGGCTGTCCTCCACACCCTGGCCGCCTACTACCCTGATCTGCCCACCCCGGAACAGCAGCAAGACATGGCCCAGTTCATACATTTGTTTTCCAAGTTTTACCCGTGTGAGGAGTGTGCTGAAGACATAAGGCAGAGGTGAGTTTGAGTGTACACGTGTCCAGGCAACACAGCATTCATTGTACTGGGGCCTGGGCCGGGCTCCCACTGATGTCATAGAGGGGAATCTGTAGACAGATGCAGAGATGGCAGAGGGTTGCGGAGGAGTGAGTGGGGATTGGGTCATCTGAGCCAGCTCTTCTTGGCAAAGGCCAGGATGCCTGAGTCTGCAACTTTCTCCAGCCAAGGCTCCAGAAAGGCCTATCCTCCCAGGGTCCATCCTGGGCACAGAGGGAGGCTCTGGGAAGGCTAGTGAGAACTGCACTTTGCCTGACTCCTGGAGCAGGATTGCTTTTGAGACCTTGGGAACTCACGGCTTTTGCTCACAAGAGCCACCTTTTGTGCACTGAAGTCCCCAAGGGCCTTGCCTAGTCCCTGCACACGTGCCTGGGCTGGGCATGTAAGGCAGAGCTGCCCTTGCTGTGTGAGACCTGGGAGGCTGGAATGAGGCCTCTTGCTGAACCAGGGTGCCAGGGCTTCAGCTGCTGAACGGTCTGGTTTCCAGTAACGCAGCTGTGCCCAGCCCGCCCTTCACACTGCCTGGGGCCAGGGACTGTGGTGAGGCTTCCTGATTGTTACAAGGTTGTAAAGTTGCCTGGTCTGTGCTTTAATGCCTTGCCCTGGGCTCTCATCAGGGTTTGCCAAGCTCCCCAGGTGGGCGTTGGGCATCCCTGGGAGCCTGTCACCTCTCTCCTGTCCCAGGGGTTCCTGGCCCTTAGAGCACGTAGGTGCTAGCTGGTGTAGCTCACAGCAGCAGCCCAGCTCTTGTCCCTCGGAAGCAGGTATGGGCTGGCAGGGACAGTGGGGCTGCCACCTCCATCGCTCACACGCCACCCCCACACAGGATATGCAGGAGCCAGCCAGACACTCGCACGCGGGAACACTTCACGCAGTGGCTGTGCCGCCTGCACAACGAGGTGAACCGCAAGCTGGGCAAGCCCGACTTCGACTGCTCTCAGGTGGACGCACGCTGGCGCGACGGCTGGAAGGACGGTTCTTGTGGCTGGCTGTGCCGGCCCCGGCCTGGCCAGGGGGGGCACTCATTAAAGTGCATCAGAGCCACAGCCTGCGTGTCTCAGTGGGGTGGTCCCAGGATGCTGATGGGGACCCTCGCTTTCTCTGGAATGAAGTAGAAGTGAAGGTTCCTGCGGTAGGCAGCCAAGGCCCTAGGAGGCTGCAGGGAGGGACGCGGAGCAGCCCAGGATGTCCCTTTCCATTCTGCCTGTGGCCTCCTGTCTACCCCTCACCCCACAGGAAGATGGTGGGCCTGGCTGAGGTTCCTTGTGCTGTCCCTTGAGACCCAGCCATTGCCTTCCCACATGGAGCTGGGCTCTGAGCTGTGGCGTTAACGCGACCTAGGGCTGAACTCTGCCCCCTCTCCGAAGGGAAAGCTCAGCCAGGGCAGTCCTGTGAGGGCCACCAGCCATGCTGCTTGCTCCCTGCCTGGTACATGTCCTTCCCCATGGGCCAGGCTGGGTCTGGGGGCTTTGTGGTGCAGCTTCCTCCGTGTTCATGGTCAAAATAAACATTCTGGAGTAACGACTGAGGTCTGCCTCTGTGCTTTGTGCTGGGGTACTTGGTGCTAGACAGGGCCTGCTGTGGCCCTGTGAGCGCAGCTACCTTGTCCTGTCACCCTAAGGCGGGCTGGGAGGAGGGAGCCAGCCAGGGTACCCCAGGAACAGTGAGGAGGGGTCAGAGGTAAGTGGAACTCCCGTGGCAGGGAGCTTAAGAGGGTTTGGGGCCATGGGACCAGCAGTTAGCGTAATGGCTATGTCGCTGGACTCCCACATAGTCGACTGCGGTTCGAGTCCCGGACCTGGTGGCTTAAACTCATGCCAGGCGCGTGTGCGTGCGTGCCCAAGATCCCGAGAGGAGAATGGAGCAGAAGGGATTGCGGTGTGGCCACCCCCCCTGGGGGGTGATTTCCTGCTTTCTGTCTCTCTCTGTCTGTCTGGCGAGCGCACGCGCCATATAGCGAAAACCTCTAAAAAAAAAAAAGAGGGTTTGGGGCCAGATGTGACTGCGGAGCTGGGAGTGGAGTGGGGCTGGGAACCCAGGCAGTCACCATGGCCAGTGGAAAGGGAGGCTCACCCCAGGGTGGGACTGGGCTCTGGGTAAGTTGAAGGTACCAGCGAATTTCCAGTGCGAGGAAGGGGCCAGGGCAGCTGGGAGTTGGTCTGTGCATCTGAGACGGCAGCTGTGAGTGTAGCAAGTTTGGGGTGACCTGGACCAGGTTTGGAGCCTCCCCAGGCCTTGCCCAGCAGCATCGTGTGTCCATCCTGTCATCAAGCGAGGGCACCAGCCCCAGGCATGCCTGTGTGGAGAGGGAGCTGTCGGCCCCCACCCTACTGTCCTCGTGGGTTGTGGCGAAGGGCCAGGTGACCCAGATGGCAGAGCAGACAGCGGCTAGCAGAGAAGTTGCTCCTCTCCTCGGTCCTGCACCTGCAGGAGCCCCAGCAGGCTTCCAGGGGAGTCTGCAGTCAGCTCAGGAACACCCTGCTTGTGTTTGCTTTCCTTCCTTCCCTGCCTAGCTTCCCTTCTCTCAGAGTTTCACCCTCAAATAACACTCCTCACTCTCCTGCTTCATGTTCCAGGGCCTCGGGGCCTCAGCAAGTGGGGCCGGACGGTGAGAGAAGATGCTGGATCGAGCTGGCGTGGAGAGCCAGCACCTGACCAAGAGGGCCAGCAGAGTTGGGGAGGGCCCAGGGCACTCCTTAGGCCAGCAGAGGGGGAGAAGCCAGGCTGGGGCATTCCTTGGGCCCTGAAGGCCTGGGTCATAGGTCAGTAAGAGGAGGGACAGGAAAGGGCTGACAAGAAGGGGCCTATGAGGGAGGAGGAACTCCAGGAGAGGGCGCCCTCTGGAGGGAGGCGACAGCAGTATCTGAGACTGGTCTGTGGAGGCCGCTAGCAGCCCTGAGTTTTCAGGGAGCTGGTAGGAGTTTGGTCACACCAGGAGTGTTCAAAAGTCCATGGGAAACAAGCCTGATGGATTTCACATTCTTTTGCAACAAGACAAAGTCATCCTTTAATTTTGCTTCTCTGTGGACTTTCTGAAGATCCCTCCTAGGCTTTCGAGGAGACCGGAGAAGAGAGGTTGAGAATGCATGACCGACAACTGGGGCTTGCTGCTAAGGGCAGGTGGATGGGACTGGAACGGCTGGAGGACGAGTGGGCCCGAGAGAGGGGAGAAGGGAGGGCAGGAGTTCAGGTGTCAGTACACTGCTCAAACAAGGGCGGGGTGCCCGTCACCACTGGCTGTACAGTGAGGTGGACTTGAACACTGGCCACAACCAGCCTGCCCACCAGTGCCCAGCTCGCTGCAGGAAGTTCCCCAGGGAGCTGGGCAGGCAACCACCATCTGTCTGCACGGTTGGTGCAGAAGGGACCTGGGCTCGACTCCAGCTCTTTCTGTGACCAAGGAACGGCACCCACCTGAAGGATGACAGGCCTTGTCTCTGTGGGTGGCCACAGGTGCTTAGCATGGGAAGTACTAAACATGGACGTTCAGTGCCCCAGACATCGTCCCCACTCTAGCCAGGCTGGCCTAGAAGACTGTGATGGATAAGAACCCCCTCCCCCAAGTCAGCGGAAGAGATCCAGCTAAAGGGCCGGGCAATGCTCTGCCCTTCCTGACTCCAGACTAAACAGCACCCACAGTCAGGCAGGCTGTGAGCAACGGGGGCACGACACCACCTGGCACATGAAAGAAAGGATGCCCCAGCCTTGTCCACGCCAGCTGCTGTGGGCTCTGTTCCCAGACAAATGTCCCTGGGGGCAGAGGTCATTTTTTTTCTTTTGGGAGAGAGACAGAAAGTGAGAAATCATCCCCCAGGGGAATGGCCACGCCACAATCCCTTCTCCATTCTCTTCTCAGGATCCTAGGCAAGCACGCACACACGCCCAGTGTGAGTTTAAACCACAGGGGTCTGGGACTCCAACGGCCATAGACTACATGGCAGTCCAGCGACATAGCCATTCCGTCAGCTGCTGGCCCCAGGAGGCAGAGGTCATTCTGGAGAATGAGGGGGTGGCCTGGTGGTGTTGGGGTGTCTGGGAAAGGCCCCTTACCTGGCTCTTGGCCCTCTCCCTAGGAAAGGACGCCAGAGCCCTTGACCTGGTTATCCCCCTTGGGCACTCACCAAAGCACCCAGCTCAGAACAGCGGGCGGCGTCCTTCTGCTCACCCTCCCTGCTGCAGCCCAGTGCCCACATCCCCTTGCCTGTCCCTGTCCCCTCCGTGGGGACCTACTGTGGGTCCCCTGAGGATAGTCTCCATTTCGGGACCCAGGCCAGGGTGCGGGGCTGGGAGGTGGGCGGGGCAGAGAGTTCTGGCCCCGCGCGCCTGGACCCAGTCGGGGGTGCTGGCTCGGCCCCGCCCC